GGGTGCCCACGAGGGTGGGGGCGCGCCCCTGCCTCGTGGACAGCCCGGAGATCCACCGACGTACTTCTTCCTCCTATATATACCCATATACCCTAAAAACTTCGAGGAACACAATAGATCGGGAGTTCCACCGCCAGAAGCCTCCGTAGCCACCGAAAACCAATCTAGACCCATTCCGGCACCCTGCCAGAGGGGGAATCCCTCTCTGGTGGCCATTTTCATCATCCCGGTGCTCTCCATGGCGAGGGGGAGTAGTTCTCCCTCGGGGCTGAGGGTATGTACCAGTAGCTATGTGTTTGATCTCTCTCTCTCTCATGTTCTTGAGGTGGTACGATCTTGATGTATCGCGAGCTTTGCTATTATAGTTGGATCTTATGATGTTTCTCCCCCTCTACTCTCTTGTAATAGATTGAGATTTCCCTTTGAAGTTATCTTATCGGATTGAGTCTTTAAGGATTTGAGAACACTTGATGTATGTCTTGCGTGGGATACCCGTGGTGACAATGGGGTATTCTATTGATCCACTTGATGTATGTTTTGGTGATCAACTTGCGGGTTCCGCCCATGAACCTATGCATAGGGGTTGGCACACGTTTTCGTCTTGACTCTCCGGTAGAATCTTTGGGGCACTCTTTGAAGTACTTTGTGTTGGTTGAATAGATGAATCTGAGATTGTGTGATGCATATCGTATAATCATACCCACGGATACTTGAGGTGACATTGGAGTATCTAGGTGACATTAGGGTTGATTGTGTGATGCATTTCATGACATAAGAGACTCTTTGTTATTTGGTTGCAGGGTTGCTTGAGAGAGACCATCTTCATCCTACGCCTCCTACGGATTGATAAACTTTAGGTCATCCACTTGAGGGAAATTTGCTACTGTCCTACAAACCTCTGCACTTGGAGGCCCAACAACGTCTACAAGAAGAAGGTTGTGTAGTAGACATCAGGATCATGCGTTACGGAACGAGTAAAGTACTTGCCGGTAACGAGATTGAACGAGGTATGGGGATACCCACGATCGAATCTCGTGCAAGTAACATACCGATGGACAAAGGAAATTGTATACGGGATTGATTGAATCCCCGACATCGTGGTTCATCCGATGAGATCATCGGGGAACATGTGGGAGTCAACATGGGTATCCAGATCTTGTTGTTGGTTATTGGCCGGAGAGATGTCTCGATCATGTATGCATGGTTCCCGAACTCGTACGGTCTACACACTTAAGGTTCAGCGACACTAGAGTTGTTATGGAAAATAGTATGTGGTTACCGAAGGTTGTTCGGGGTCCCGGATGAGATCCCGGACGTCACGAGGAGTTTCAGAATGGTCCGTAGATGAAGATCTATATATGAGAAATCCTTATTCGGTCACCGGAAGTGTTCGGGAGGTTACCAGTATTATACCGGGACCACCGAAGGGGTTCCGGGGGTCCACCGGGAGGGTCCACCTGCCCCGGAGGGCCCTATGGGCTGAATATAGAGGGGAACCAGCCTCTAGGTGGGCTGGGCGCCAACTCCCCCTTAGGGCCCATGCGCCTAGGGTTGGGGAAAACCTTAGAGGGGGCGCCCCCACCTAGCTTGGGGGGCAAGCCTCCTCCTTGGCCGTTGCCCCCTCTAGATGCATCTAAGGGGGGCCGCCCCCCTCTCCCTTGCCCCTATATATAGTGGGGGGTGGGAGGGCAGCCGCACCCTTCCCCTGGCACAGCCCTCCCCCTCTCCAACACCTCCTCCTCCTCCTCCGTAGCGCTTGGCGAAGCTCTGCCGGAGAACCACGAGCTCCATCACCACCACGCCGTCGTGTTGTCGGAGTTCTCCCTCAACTTCTCCTCTCCCCTTGTTGGATCAAGGAGGAGACGTCCCCGGCTTGTACGTGTGTTGAACACGGAGGCGTCGTTGTTCGGCGCTCAGATCGGAATTGACCGCGATCTGAATCGTTGCGTGTACGACTCCACCAACCGCGTTCTTGCAACGATTACGCTTAGCGATCTTCAAGGGTATGAAGATGCACTCCCTCTCTCTCGTTGCTAGTATCTCCTAGATTGATCTTGATGACACGTAGATTTTTTTTTAAAATTATTTGCTACGTTCCTCAACAAAACATGCATGTAGCAAAGGAGCTCAGAAGCAGACACCGGGCGCCTCAGCATAGCACAACACAACACATAATGGAAAAGGCGTGCTCTCTGGCCGACTCAACCTTTTTCTGTAGCTCCATCATTGGTTGTGTACATCGTGCTACATGGAGGTCGGACATTTGCTGGTTGTGTGCATCGTTCTATGTGAAGGTCGGACATTCACCCAGTGCGATTGTGTCACCTCAATGTATCTTTTTCTTTCTGAGAATGTCACCTCGATATATCTTACATGGCTCTCATCTTTTATCAACTGGTGTCAAAGGGCAAGAGAAAAAGGTGAAACGAGACTATCCAAATGGAAAGTGGGACAATTTCAGACTAGAGGAGTACCACTATTTGTAGGAGAAAGAAGAAAAAAAAGGAAAGACACCAATCGTGGTCAAACTTCGTACAATGCAGAATGTAATCTTGCCGAAGAACGAGTGGTACCCAAAAAGGACATGTTCTCATACGGCCGTGTGAATATGTTTGTCCGTGGAGAATCATGGTGGACCGACCGCCGATCCTCAAAAGGAATTAACCAGAAAAGAGACCCTCAACAAATCGAGAAAAGACGAATGTTCCTGAACGAAAAGGGCGAGCACCCTGCTTGTGTCGCGTCGGATGATGCACCGTCTGACACGATAATGACACCGGAACATCTCAAACTCGCGTCGTGCTGCTGACTTTTCTCTCCAAGAGCCCACGGACCCACGTCCCGAGCGGTGTGGCCCACACAACCGCTGCCCCACCCATCAGCGACGTGCGGCCCCACGACACCCGTAGTAGGACAGAGAAACCAAAGAACAGAAATCGCATCGTAACTACCGAAACATGGAAACAATTACGCATTTAACCCCCCAACCCCAAAATTCTCACCCTTTCCCTCTTTAAAAAAACCCGCAGCCAATAGGAGACGCAGGTCAAACGCCCGGGCTGGACTTTTGGGCCAGGAAAGATTGGGCAATCGTCGCGTGGAGCGGAAGTTTCCGGGAAGCGCACGAGGGGATTAAAAAATAGTACTATACTCCCGGACCGGCGGGCCCAGGCAGTCAGTGTCCCGGCCCAGCACCACGCCCCCGGCGTTTTTCCGGTATAAAAGAGCCCCGCACCCAGCGACGCGAGATTGCTTCCCCCAAAACCTCACCTCATCTCATCTCCTCCACAATTGATCAGACGGCGGCGCTCACCTCCTCCCCCTCGGCATCCCCCATCGTCCTGCTGGCTTCCCCGGTTCTCCCTCGTAAGCGCCCCTCCCGATCTCCCCCAATCCCTTCCTTCGATCGATCTGGGTAGATCGGGGCCGATTGTTGCGAGTCATGGTTCGTGTCGATCCGATGGCCAATTCGGGCGATCTGCGTCCGATCCGTCGATTCTGAGGTGGTGGTTAAGCAATCGCCGCACGGATTGGTCTGGTCTTCCGTCCGTCGAAGTTTACGGCCGATTAGGGTTTGTGGTCGATCGATCGGTCGATCTACGCGTTGATTTGGGGTTATGCGATCCAGATGTTGTAGTAGCGTCGCGAAAGTTTGAGATTTGGTCGGGAATTGGATTGTTCAGCGTCTATTTAGGCTCGATTCCTTTGGGTGCCTTGTGATGGATCGGTGGATTCTATTAGATGGTTGAACTAATGGTCCGGAACTGATCCAAGGCAGTTTATTCTAGGAAACATCCGTTAGTTTTTTTTTTCGTTTGTGGGAAAAATTACTTTTGTTTTGTTAATAATATCATCTGTGCCTATGAAGTATCATAGCGTGTAAGTTTTGGTTAGATCGTAGGTTGGATGCTAATGTGCTTATTATATATTTTTATTTCTGCTGCACTGATGTGGTTTGTGATTAAGCTCAATATTTTGGGGTACCTGAACTTGGTGAAAATATATTAGGTGCTCACAATGGTTTGATCTTTGGTTATCTAAGTGCAGCGCTGAAAGTCCTGTATGATCCTTTTCACAGTTTTCTTTTTGTCAACTAGTTTTTTCATGAGTTACATCCGAGCCAATATGAAATATACTAGTAAAATCTGGTGAAGCGATGGTGTAGGTTAGATTCATGTTGTTAATGCGCTATTTCACTTTGAATTGCGTACAATGTAAAATTCACTTGCTATATGCAGTCTTTTCTTTGCTTCCTGGGACTTTAGTTATTTGGATCGAAGGATAAAACATAGAACACATGTATTCTGTATTTTTCTGCTGTTTATGTTTTTCCTTTCTGACGATGTTTTCTAATCTCATGCAGGTTTTTGATCTCAGTCACTCATGTCTTTTGAAGTCAGCGAGGGATCCCCTTATTTCCACTCGTGCTACTTCTGGTTCATATATTGCATAAAATTCCGAGAATTCACTTGATACAAGTGGATCATCTGGAGTTTTGTGCGAGTACTTCCTATCATGTGAATCAGTGGTAGTTGGTTTAATTGGCAAGACTCAAACTTCTCTCATCTGAGTTCAGAAACATTTGTCGCTTGAGTCCTTGGTGTACTGCTTTCCTTGAGTCTTGCCAAGCCTGGTTTTCCATAAGTTGTTTCTCCTCCAGCTTTTGGTTGGACCATTCTCTCCTCTGGTCTAATCTCATCCATCCTTTGATCCTCCCTTCAGAATAGTTGTCATAACGTGAGCTGTCCTCTGCTCACACGGCAATCTTCTGAAGCTCTCTTCTCTGGTTCTTGTTTGTTCTCTTGAGAGCTCCTCTCCTTAAGTTTGGTTGATCTGCGGCCTTGAATTCTGTCTTTCGAGGACTGAAGCTTTCTTGCCAAACTTGATATTTCCCTGATTTACTGGTATTGTTAATTGCATAATCTGGTGAAGCAATTCTGGTTGTTTTTCACCTCTTGTGTTCTTCTGCTGATACTGAGCGCAAGACACCCACTGCAGTGATGGCTCAAACTTGCCTGCCACCTGGCTTTCGTTTCCATCCAACTGATGTTGAGCTTGTTTCTTACTACTTGAAAAGGAAGATTATGGGGAAGAAACTTTTTGTTCAAGCTATCTCAGAGGTTGAGCTGTACAAATTTGCTCCTTGGGACCTTCCTGGTAATTTTCATCTATTGTTTTATTTTTTATATGTAATAATTTCACCCAAATTGGTTGGAAATTAATCTATATTTCTCATAATGCTCTCACTTTGGTTGAATTTAGTTCTCAACTTTGTTGTGACCTTCTGTTTTTCTGTGCAGATAAATCATGTCTTCAGAGCAAAGATCTTGAGTGGTTCTTCTTTTGCCCCCGTGACAAGAAGTATCCTAAAGGGTCTAGGACGAACCGTGCCACACCAAATGGTTATTGGAAAACAAGTGGAAAAGACAGAACAATTGAGCTGAACTCTCGCATTGTTGGGTTGAAGAAAACATTGATTTTTCATGAAGGCAAGGCACCGAAAGGCAACAGGACTGATTGGGTGATGTATGAATACAAAATGGAAGATGAAACTTTGGTGTCTGCTGGTTTCTCGAAGGTACTTTAAACTCTTATCTAATGTTTTTGTTTGTTTCACTTTTTTGAAGTATGTTCACTGTATATGAAAGATTCTACCATGCTGGAATATGTTTTGAGGCATGCTCTTTTGCTTATGGCTGAAACTGAGCGTGATTAGTTGCCTTTATATTTAGTTAGAAAGCTGTGATCCTAGTATTTCTTTCAAATTCTCTGCAAGCTTAATTAAATATATCTGCTGTCTGTTTGTTTCAGGATGCTTATGTACTCTGCAAGATATTTAAAAAGAGTGGGCTTGGCCCAAGGATTGGTGAGCAATATGGGGCTCCTTTTGATGAAAACGAATGGGAGAATTTAGATGTTGGATCTTCTATCTTCTCTTTTGCACCGTCCTCAGGTGTAGAGGATCCACAGATCGAAAGTTCTGCCTTGGCTACTGCAATAGTTATTCACGAACCATCCGCTCCTCAGCAATCTGTTCAATTTTCCGAACATGTTAATATCTGTTCTGATCAGGTCAATGATGCGCCTCCTGAAATTGATGGGATATTGTTGGACGAACTGACAAAGTTTTTGAATGATTCTCCCAACCATGACGTACGTTCGCCGGAGGTATTAGCTTGCTGACTTCTTGCTTATCATATTCTGTATGTTTGTACCGAAGGAATTATATTTTTTTAATAACCTTTTTACATCTTTTGTTGTAGAATTCTGGTCTGCCTCCAATGTCTGAGCTTGAGGCTCAAGCTTTTGAGATAAATACTGCTGAGCTCTATGACCAATTGGCAGTACTTGCCCAGTCAGGAGATATGCCTGCTGCAAATTTCCCTGCTAGCAACGGGGATGTTATTGAAAACAATTTGCAGCAAACAAACTCTGGACTTGCTATGGATGATGATTATATAGGGTTGGATGATCTGTTTGCTCCTGGGGAAACTTTCTCCTATGATTTTTCTGGTGAAACATTCTCCTATGATTTGCCTGGTGGAACCTTCTCCTATTTGTCTGTGCCAAACAATCAGTTTTCGCAGTACCCACTGGATCAATCATCTAATGGCCTTCACTACGGTGATGGTGCCACTCAATCAACTTTCTTAGCAAGTGGACCGCTTCCACCATTGGAACCAATGCCTAGCACTTTTGATGACATGCCTTCTGTTTCCAATAAGCCTGCAAGCTCCTACTGCTTGAACCCAGCCATGAAAGACCCATTCTCATAGATAGCAACTTTTGAGGTACCAAGTCTGTTACCTTTGTGGTCATTGATGTTGGAAGTTGCTGCTGATTCTGGTTTTGGTTGTCCATCATTGTCTGATGTGACTCTTGATGGATCTTGGATGTTGGTCCCTGCTCGAGATGACCCAACAATGGTGTTTGTATCATGGCATGGCTGCTGCTCTATTGAAGAAGCCGGAACTTGGTTGTGTCTCAATCACGAGCACAGACCGAGCTTAGCTTACTGCTATACCGCGGAGAAACTGTTTTCTGCTGGTTTGGAAGATGTCTTCTCTGGGTGGAGATGCTGCAGTCCATCTTGTTCTTTCTGTAATAACTGCCATGTTTGATGCGTTGTCCATAAACCTAGTGACAACTTAATAGCTTAAGTCGCATCTTCTATCTATTTTCTGTCAAAGTAGTACTACTGTATTTGAACCATCGTCATTAATATTATTATTATTATTATTGTAAATCATCATTATGTTTTTGTCGCCACAATGCTTGATGTCTTCCAGGTGCCAGGTGATTACAGTTGTATTGCCTTCTCCCGATTTTTGTTTTGTGTGAATTTGTGCTGTTCGTGTGTGTTGATTTGTTGATTGATCGCAGAGCCACTCATTCTATGGCTTTGAAAAAGAACACCAGAGTGTTTCCTATTGCGAATCCACTTTGAATTTGATAAATGTATTGCTTGTGAAGTTGTTTGCGTATGTCAAGCGGTCCCCTATCTAAACATTTAGAATAAATAATGATGTTTGGTTTGTTGACAAATTAGTATTTACTTCAGAGGTAAATCAACCAATCCCAATATATGTCTGCTGAAAGATCGAAAATAATGGTGGTCCTGAAGTGCAGGTGTTTTCCTAATATAAATATAATGCTGCTGAAGTCAAATGAAGGTTTGGATCCTAGAGTGCAGTCATTGAGAAAGGCATAATGTAGTCTCTGTTATGACCGACATATTAGGTGGGCTGTGGCCCAAGTTATCTTATCGTTATTAGGGGCTTAGCCCAGTTATCTTATCGGTATTAGGGTCGTTTGCTTAGGAAAGTAAACCTCTCTATATAAGGAGAGGAGATGTATCAATCTAATCAAGCAAGAAGCCATCCGTATTTGTTTGGCTTTCCTTAGGGAGCCGGGAGACCTAACCCTAGCCGCCTCTTGCGCCGCCGCCGCCTCTTCTCCATCACGCAAGGACGGCGCCCAGCCGCCGGCCGCCGCGCCCTTGACCTCGTCTTCCTCCATCTTTCCCCTACAATCTCCGCCCTAGAACCAACAGAACCCTAGCTCCTAACACCTTGGTATCAGGTAGCTCAGTTCCGATCATGTCTTCGCCGCCGCCCATCCCATCGCTTCCGCTGCCGGCCGTCACAACCACGCCGCTGGCCTTCTCCACCGCGCCGCTGCCCTCCCCGTCCGTGCCGCTGGTCGCATTCTCCGGCGCCGCCACCACCCAGATGACGGCGCCCTCCACCGCATCATCGGCCGCCGTCTACTCCCCGGTGGAGATCACCGGGGTCCTCAACGATCTCGTCACCGCCGTCCAGGGGATACAACTATACCTAGCCGGCCCCTACGGGTCGCCGGCCGCCGTGACCGGGCCGGCCGCCCTGCCGTGGTATTCGGCACCCGCGGCGCCGACGGGGCCTCTACACCACCACTGGCCGCTTCAGCCGCTGCCCGCCGCCGCGCTCCAATGGTCGCAGTGGCCAGCGCCGGCCCTCGCCGCGTCACCCACGCCACCCGGGTCGTCGCCGCCACCGCCCTGGCAGCCCTGGCAGCCGCCGCACCCCGGGGCCACCGTGACGCTGGTCGGGCCACTGCAGCTACAGCTAGCCCCCGCCACCGCCCCGATCTGGCCACACTGGCCGGCCGCGGCCATCGCCGCACCCGCCACCTCCGCCGTTTCCAGGCAGCAGCAGCTGCCGCTGCCGGCGCCTCCACCGCCCAGCACCGGGCTGACTACAACCGCGCCGGCGGGCGTGCCGATTCAGCAAGTGCAGTTCCCGCCCTCGCCATCCCAGCTTCCGGCCTGGTTGCCCGGGACGTCACCACCGCCAGTCTACACCATGGCCGTCGACCAGCCGGCGCCCTCCCTGTCGTACGACGGGCCCTCCGGCTCCGCGGGTTTCCACGCTGGCTTCGACAGGCCACCGCTTTCCTGCGGACCACCTGTGCACATCGGACCAATGCCATCCTCTTCGCTGCTCCGTACTGCCGAGCCGTACACTCATGGCGGTCATGCTCAGACACCGCAGCGCTTCGCCAAGCTCGCCTTCGCCACCTACGACGGCACCGAGGACCCCCTCAACTGGCTCAACCAGTGCGAGCAGTTCTTCCGGGGGTAACGGACGCTCGCGTCGGACCGCACCTGGCTCGCCTCTTATCACCTCCGCGGCGATGCACAGACGTGGTACTACGCCCTCGAGCAGGACGAGGGCGGCATGCCCCCATGGGAGCGTTTTCGCGAGTTCTGCCTCCTTCGCTTCGGACTACCGATACGTGGGAGCCGGCTGGCGGAGTTGGGCCGCCTTCCCTTCACCTCTACGGTGCAGGACTACATCGATCGCTTTCAGGCCCTGGCGTGCCACGCGTCCGCCGTGACGGCTCACCAGCGGGCCGAACTCTTCGTCGGCGGTCTGCCAGATCATATCCGCGTGGACGTCGAGCTGCAGGGACCCCGGGACCTCCAGACGGCCATGTACTACGCCCGTGCGTTCGAGCGCCGCGCGGTGGCCATCCAGCAGGCATCACCATCCCGGGCCGCTGGGCCGCCACCCTGGCCGGATGTTTCCGAGCAGGGTCAGCCTGCTCAGGCTTCCGCAGCACACCTTGCCGCGACCGCGGCGCGCCCGTTCCGCCGGTTCATCTCGTCCGAGCTACTCGAGGGTCGCCGCCAAGGGTTGTGCTTCAACTGCGACGAGATCTACATGCCCGGCCACGTCTGCCCCCGACTCTTCTACCTGGAGGCTGCAGACTACATTGAGGAGGACGCCGTCGCCGCCGGGCTCGACGACCTGGCCGCCCCAGCTGTTGCGGAGGTGTTTGATGCTGGTTGATCACCTCGAGGAGTTCAGTAAGCGCTTCCCCGCCTTACAGCTCGAGGACGAGCTGTTTGTGCAGGCGGGGAGAAGTGTTATGACCGACATATTAGGTGGGCTGTGGCCCAAGTTATCTTATCGTTATTAGGGGCTTAGCCCAGTTATCTTATCGGTATTAGGGTCGTTTGCTTAGGAGTCAAGTAAACCTCTCTATATAAGGAGAGGAGATGTATCAATCTAATCAAGCAAGAAGCAATCAGTATTTGCTCGGCTTCCCTTAGGGAGCCGGGAGACCTAACCCTAGCCGCCTCTTGCGCCGCCGCCGCCTCTTCTCCACCACGCAAGGACGCGCCCAGCCGCCGGCCGCCGCGCCCTTGACCTCGTCTTCCTCCATCTTTCCCCTACAATCTCCGCCCTAGAACCAACAGAACCCTAGCTCCTAACAGTCTCTCTGATCCTTTTAGCAATATCATTACTCCATGTTTTCCTTCAAGACGTGCGTGTAATAATATCACAAACAGATCTTGGTCTCAGCTATTTCCACATGCTTTCTGTTGTCAGGTTTTGGCTTCTTTCCATGGGAGATTAGCAGAGATACAAGTCACTGTTTGAAGTATTGTGTATATACATATGTGAATTTTTTTCCTGGAAAGTACACAAATTGCGCACCATATATAGTTTTAGAAAGATAATTCAAGTACTCCCTCTGTTCACTTTTATAAGGCTTTGTAGATGTTTCAGATAGTGTGCAAAACAGCACAATTTCACTTGTCTGAAACGACTTATAAAAGTGAATGGAGGGAGTACAAGATAACTACAACTCGTTGCGAACAACGAGCGTAGCATACACTCCACATCCGGCTAGTCCAACACCAAGACGAAACAACTACAACGCAAAAGAGCTAGCTCCTGTCAAGCTTCCCTCGTCGACGCATCATCCACCCTTTATATATGCCTAAAGGAGGTGGCAAGTGTATGGCGGGGCTTAATCAGACCGGAGAAAAGCACAATTTTGAAGTCACCGGCGACGGCCGTACATTGCGCCGCGGAAGATCCATGATGGATAACGGCGAACACCGAAGGAGCGCAACGAAGGACCTCCAAACCATGTCTTCAGACACGATGCTCCCAACAGAGGGACGACATTAAGAACGCCGCAATTGTGCCTATCCTGCACCCAATCAAAGCTTTCACCTGGAGACAACAAAGCGACACGGCTCGGCGACACCTCCAAGGAGGGAAATGACAGCCGCGGGTGCCATCGCCGCCGCCCCGGCAAAAACCGGGCAGGACGTTCATCTGTATCGCCGTACATCTCCGCTCAGGTTTGGGGCGTCCTTGTAGCCTCACACCACAACACCTTGCCATCGAAGCCGCACAGCCGTGGTTCGTCCACACCACGCACAACAAAGAGAAACACGGCCCAATCATCCACTATCAACCCGCACATATGAAATTTTAGTTGTTAAGGAACCTCTTTGTGATATACTTCCTCCTTCCCAAAATATAAGGCGCGTTTGACTTTGTACGGTCTTTGATGCATGACTTTGACCACAAATATATATAGGAGTATCAAAGTACATGAATTGAACATGTATAAAAGGCATAGTCGTATTTGTCTTGCAAAATAATTTTATTTCATATTTCTGTATACTAATTTTATGGACATACAATATGTGAAAATCATAGTCAAAGTTATGCAACGAAGACTAGAAAAGTCAATCAGCGCCTTATATTTTGAGAAGGAGGGAGTAATAAAAGTCACTGTCCAAGCTTTTCCAATGCTACCAGTAGGCTAGACGCTAGAGTGAAAAATATTGTGCCTTCGTAAACTTTTGGTCAGATAAGAGAGGTCAAACACGCGCTGTTTACTGCAACCTTTACATTTGTTTTCATTTAAACCTCACTGTACATTAGACTACCTGATCTCCAATTCATCGCCAATAATGAAAGTAAATAGATCGAATGACATTTCATGAAATCTAAGAAGCACGATGGTAAACGCCAGGAGGCATGAGCTGCTGCGGTCTCTGCTCTCGCATTGCCAGGCCCCCCTGCCCTTGCATGCCATTCTTGCCATATTGTTGCCACGCCATCTGCTCCTCCGTCAGAAGCTGCTGCTTCGTCTGCATGTCGGACATCTGCACGTACGTCGGCGGCGGCACCACTATCGACGCCGCGAAGGGGTCCCCACCTGGCGCGGCGCTGCACATCCCCGGCGGCGCAGGCAGGGCCAGCATGGGCGCTCCGGGCGGCCGCAAGGCCACGCTGCTCGCGCTGCCGGAGAACGCCTGCGCGTTCGCCGCCGTTGCGTGGTTGTACATGCCTTCGAGGGCCATCATGTCGAGCCCGCCCCCTAGCATCGCGCGCTGGTTCGCGAGCGCGCTCGCCGACTCGACCAATGCCGTCTCCCAGTCCGCCGATGACGGGTCGAACACGTCGCATGTCGGCGCCGATCCGGCCGGGTTGCCGTCGAACAGGGCCAGCGCCAGCTGCCGCCCGTGCTCTTCCCCGGACATGGCGTCCGCCTTCAAGTTCAAGAAGTCCGCCTCCTCGTCGACCACGTCGGTTGTGATCAGCGGAGCCTCCGGCTCAGCATGCGCCGTTTCGCTGGCATCGGGCTCCTTCTCCACGGCAGCCGGCGGCTCCGCGGGCGCCGGAAGGGCCCTGGCGGCGCTCATGTCGTACTCCTCGACCTCTGGCTCCGGGCTGGACGGCTCCGGCGACGGCGGCGGCAGCCTCCGCAGATACTCGGCGCCGCGCCTGTCGCAGATGAACTCGTCCATGAGCTCTAGCCTCTCCTGCGTGATGACCTCCACCTCCGGCACGTCGGACTGGCGGCAGACGTAGGCGTCCTTGCACCACGCGTAGAAAGAGTCGAGATCCTCGATCTGCTTGGCGAGGCCGCAGAAGACTCCGGTCACGCGCTCGCAGTCCGCGCTCTCCATGTCCGGGAACCGCTCCATGAGCGCGGCCATGACCTCCGTGAGCTCGCAGTACAGCTGCACGCTCTCCTTCACCAGCGGGTACAGAGACACCGACACCACCCGGTTCGTCTTCGCCGCGCCTGAGACGTGTCGTTCACCTCGGCAATGGCATGATCCGAATCCCACACGAGAATGTAAGGTGAGCAAACAGTTGCGTGCACGCACGGATGGACTCACCTGCGGGTCGGCAGGCGATGAATCGGTCGAGGAGATGCTGCAGTTGCTGGACCTTGGCGAGGAGCTGCTCCAGCGTCATCTCGCTCGTCGGCGTCTCCCTCGGCGCGATCGCCCCCGCCTTGGCGGCGTCGGCGTCCGCCGCCGCATCCTCCCGTTTACTCCCGTCAACACCCTCGCGGCTGAGGCGGTCTCCGGGGGACATGTAGAGCTCGTCGCGGAGCAGCTTGCAGCGGTTGGGGCCGCCCTGCCTGGCCTGTATCCGGTGCTCGAGGCGGTCGTCGAGGTAAGCGGCGTAGGTGCGGACGAACGCGGAGTAGTCCCACGCGTCGTCGTCGCTAGCGCGGCCGCAGAAGTCGGACATGTTGAGCATGCGCGTGCCCCGCCGCGTGGCGTAGAATAGCTCCTGCTCGAACACCGGATCGCCTTCGGCGAGGAGGCGGTGCACGATCACCAGCGTCTTGAGCGCCACGTCCCAACTCCGGGTGCGCCCGAGACGGCGCGACAGCGCGGCCACGCAGGCGCTGGCGGACCCGCGGGAGTCGCGCGTGAGCGAGACGATCTCGCGGATGTGGCGCTCGTCGGCGGGGAAGTTCTCATCGTGCTTGGTGGCCTTGACGATGGCCACTTCGAGCTCCGGCGACGCGAAACCGCTGCCGCCGCCCACCTTGGCCAGACCGATGCTGGTCTTGTCCTTGACCGCTCCCAGCGCCTTGCGGAGCTTGCTCGGTGCCATTGTTCGTACGTCCGGCCGGGGAGAGCAATTGGTGGATTCTTTCGCGTGTGGTGCGTCGCGGCGATGGGGAGGAGGGCGAGACGGTGGTGTCTGAGGCGAAGCGCGGATGGTGATGCATGGGAAATGCGAGCGCGTGGAAGCGGGTGGCGGAGAGGAGGTCCGAGGAAGGAGGGCGCCATGGACGGTCACGGTGCAAGGGAGAAATTGGGTGGAGACGGGCTCCAAACCCCCGACTGTGCGTACCCGCTCTAATCTGTCGCCATCTGTCCCTGCTCTTCATCTGACGCTATCCTCTCATCCGCTCCTGTACGTACGTTTCTCGGCTCGAGTACTTCGCATCGGCTCGAAGAAAGAACTATTCAGCTCGTATCAATCACTTCCGCTGCGATCAGGGTTTCCATGGCGAGCGACTGGCGCCGTCTTCTCCACATGATTGGATTGGTGCGCGTGGGTTCCTTGATTCGGCGATGGCCGCAGCACGCCAGAACGACTCGCCGCCATCTCTCTCCCATGGCCGCATCGGGCCGGAAATACACCAATGGCCTCCGCAGGTCGTGCCCCGCTGCCTGAAGTGCTGCCTCCATCGAGAAGGACGGGAGATGCCACGCCGGCGTTCGGCACTATTGTCGTCTTGGATCATGTAAATCACGCGGATGAGGACGGTTCCTGCTCCATCTCGTACAGCCCGCTGCCGACAGTGACCCTGGACGCAGCAAATTGCGACATAGACTTGCTGCTGCGGCATGTAATGGAAGTCCAGGAGTATGACATAGCCATGACACTGTTAGAATACTTGAACAATGAGAGGATCCAACATTTTATTATGCAACAAAATCAAAGATATGAGCATGTAAAAGAACATCAGTTTTTCTTTCAATTTATAGATGATCGCAAGTATCTATCCTTTTACAGATCCGAAAATTTACAATCAATAATTCTGAACAATTTACAATAAAGATTAATCATTATTTTCATCATAAGATTCTGAATCTTGAAATTCACTGAAGAAAGTATGTTGTAACCAAAATAACATGCTTCCTTGCAATCCATTGAGCAGAACTTCAGCAGGCATTTGACATCTTTCCCGACCTCGTAGCAGGCCATGAAATTGCACAAATAATACAGTCTACTTAACACGGTCTACTTCATGTTCTCGGTCATCACCTTCTCCGTTTAACCTTTACTTGTTCCCTCTTCCTACCCCAACTATCTATGAATCGGCCACTCTAAACCTATTTGCAAGCCTCAACTATTAGTGCATCAATTATAATTCAGAGAAGTTCAGAAAACTCTGACATCTAAACTGCAGGAGGCTTTGTGGAACACAAACAAGTTGCGTGCGATGGTGCCGGCAGCATAGAGCATATAACAATGCTATCCAAGAAACTTACATGAACAACTGCTGCAAAAAAGGGAACATATTTTTGCTTACTGATAATAGAAATACAGTGTGATATCAAACATAGTTGAAATCTGAAAACTATACTCGTTGGACTATTATACAGTCATGCTCTAGGGAGAGAGGGTATTACAATTGTGATGCCCATTGACAAAAAAATTGCTACACCGAAAGGCTAGAAAATCAAACTATTATGCAAGGTGCTGGTTCATCGGTGAAAAGCTGCTCTTTTTCTGAACCGGGAAACGAATTCATTCAGTTGTTGGTTTACAAACGAGTGGGTGCACACGGATATCAAATCCGGCGAGCTCATGGCCACGAGAGCACTCCGGCGCCATGCACGCACGATACTCGCCGAGTTGGCGCTGCACGCCGTCAGCCAGCAGGGCCCCCTCCATGTCCAACTACGGCCGCCACGGCGGCTGCCAGTCTGATCTGGATCTTCTGACGCCGACAAATCAAGCAGCTATCCCACGGACACACACGGGCCACGATACCGTCGCCGCCACTCCGCTCCGACGGCGTCGCTCGGCCTTGGCTGTCCGCTGAGCGTGGAACCAGATGGGGGATCGTCTTCAGTTTCGTGAACCGATATAACAAGTACCGATCGAGCCGAGCGGAAGCGCCGGGAGTGAAGGAACAAGCCGAAAAAAGGAGTGCTATAGCAGATGCCGTGGGATGCAAACATGGGACAGGTGGCACAATCTCACGTCAGGTACGCAGGGAAGGATCCGTGGAGATGGTCTCCACCCAATTTTTTTCCGACGACATTTGTATGGATGGTTTCGTCTGTTTTTGTTGTATATACTTACAGTATGTCTAGCAGATCCTGTATAAATCCGGTGAAATGCCTTTTTTTTATCGCTTTTACAGGATGGACCAAAAATACGGCCTGAACAAGTCCACTAAAAAGGACCCGGCCTTTTACACGCGGCCCATAAACCGCCCTCCATTCCTCCATATATGTGGGCTCCGGGGCTTTTAGGGTTCCCGTCCCGTTTTCCCACATCCACCTCCACCGTGAAATTCTTCCTCCAGCGAGAAATCCCTAGACCTCCTGCTGTGATTTTGCGTCGCATTGAACCGCCGGAAGTTGCCGGAGATGGCGTCAGTGGGTGCCGGGCGTGGCGGTGGCGGGGGGTTCGGCGGCCGCAAACGATGCAACGAGGACGAGGCCGGAAGCTCCTCCCTCCGCCCTCCGGTGTCGGAAATGCGCATGGAGCAGACACGTTGTCCCGCATCGCCGGAGCGCCAGCGTGGGCGATCTTTCGTCGCCTCGGGCGGATCTTCGATCCGTCAGTCCAGCGCCTTCGGGCGGCCGAGCGCTCCTGGTGGGAGGCGAAGGAGCCCCCCCTCCCCCCCCCCTCCCGGAGATGCAGCTGCGGCCGAGCGCGTCCCGACGCTCTTCAAGGAGTGCCAATTCATATATACCCTCTCCAGCACGCTCATCTACCACACCCTCCACGGCAACGAGCCCTTGCCCTGCGAGGACGACTCCAGCGACAAGGACGGCGAGTAGATGCGTTATTGCTAGTATGTTTAATGTTTAGTATGATGTTTAATTTTGGTTTGTATTCAAGAAAGGTCTGTTTTTTTGCGCGCAACAATATTATCTTGATTGAATTACAATCCCAGCCATAAGCGGGCACTACTCTATGCCAGTCGGCCGGCCAAAGGCCCAAGTCGTTCGCTTTAAAGCCATAGATTGATGCACCCACAATCGTTGGATCAGATAGACCACACACACACAAGAGAGGACCGATGTGCTCAGCTCAAGCTCTCGCATCTCCCGCGCACATGCGCAAAAGCATGATACGGTCACCAGACTTGAATACGCTTGTTATGGTCATTATATATAACAAGATAATTTCCCCGCGCGTTGTTGCGGGACTTTGTTGCAATAATTTTGCGGAAATTCTATTGAGCAAAAAGTAAAAAATATATTTTACTTGATTATTTGATAGATACTCCCTCTGTTAACATATCAAATAATCAAAATATGTGGCTAATTTTCGCTAGAGTTGTCGACGCTTGTGCCTTTTTCTTGTGACCAAATTGTACGTGTGGGATTCCTTTCTTGATGTACTGAAAGTAATCTGAGCCAGTAGGTGCAAATGCTTGGCATTTTAAAATTTATAAGCAGTGATCGACATAGCAGCAAGGAAGGACATGAACGAAACTCACCTAAAAGGCTAGCCTGGGCAGCACTTTCTGCATTTTATGATAGTTTTGAAGAGTGTTGTTCACTTTGTACTTGTTAAAGACCAGAAATTGCACATCTATATCGTATTGTTTGTACCACATACATGCAGCATGGCCAAATACTATGAAACAATACTCTAGATTTTTTTAGATAAACATAACTCTACGTCCCAAATTTTACTAACCCATTTGTGCATACATTCCAAAATACTTGAGCATTTTAACCTGGATGGAGGTTTAGCTGCCACTCACTTCACTAATTTATAGTATAACTGTCAGGACCCCGATTCCAAGTCACATCAATCTAGCCGGTAACACCTCATATCACTTTGCGGCCTCACGCACGGTATTCTCACGGGTGTCGTCTTACCATGGCCCGGGACAGTTTGCGCCTTTTGGCTCACGTATATGATAGTGTCGCTAGCATTCATATGACAGAGAACCCGGACCGACATGACTAGTCGTAAACCCAAAGTGGCACTAACTTACGGGGACAGGCATACATGAATCAACATCGAGCATGTCGGTCAGCAGCGTGTGAATCCGGGCTGTAGCACTGGGCTAACAGGACTCCGGTGAACCTGGCTGTAGCAGGCTAGGCAGGACTCCGGATGTCACCGCGTGACATTTCCCCGAAGGGACAGACACAGGAACGAAGTGAATCACATGCCGGCCAGTCAAGTGTTCCGGAGCAGTAGTGCTGGGCTAGCAGGACTCCGGTGATCCGGGCTGTAGCGGACTACTATGGCTCATGGAAGCACAAGACTACATTTCCCCATAAAAGAGGCTATCAAGGATAAACAACTAGGTTGTCAGATCCCATACATACCAAGCATTTCAATCACACACATAATATGCTCGACATGTGTAAATACAACATGGCATCACAACATAACTCTACGACTCAAGTATTTATTCATTAGGCTCCGAGGAGCGAGATATTACAAACATGGGTCTCATGACCCAACATTCAAAGCATACAAGTCAAAGCACATGCGGAAGCTTAACTTGTCTGAGTACAGACAACTAAAAATGAAGAAGGCTGAGGAGCCTGACTATCTACCAGATCCTGCCGAGGGCACAAGATCGTAGCTGAGGTATCAAGCTAAACGTCGAAGCCCACACCGAACTATTAGCGAGACTGGCGTCTCTCTGCAAAACATAAAATAGGCAAACGTGAGTACAGATGTACCCAGCAAGACTTACATCAGAACTAGCTACATATGCATCAGTATCAACGACGGGGTTGATGGAGTTTAACTGCAGCAAGCCAGCTTTGACTCAGTGGCTAACCTAAACTATGACCGCAAGTAACTCTTTTGAGGTGGCGCACATGAGTCCACATATTCACCATATCAATACACCACTATGGATCCGCTTCCGTCTCCCTACGAGAACG